GGACTGGACCCGATGATCTCACAAGGTCCCTTCCAGCCCTAACATCTATGAAATCTATGAAATGGAAATAAAACTTACTGAAATGACACTACAAAGGGAACGTCAAGGAACAGGAATTGAGTTACTGAGATTGGAATTTAGCTAGGACACTGTCATTAAGGCAGCTACTTTTTAAATACACCCTGGATCTTTTTGTGGCCATATGTGATTGTGCTTTCGCTGTGCTTTATCAAAAGATATAGCTTAGTGCCTTCTAATAGCATACTGCTGTGTTTCTTTAATATTATCTTCTAAAATCTTCTTATTGCATAACTAGCACTACTTGAGTTCTGCTTGGAATTCCTCCTCCAACTGATAAGTAGACTCAAGGATAAATTTTGGTTGCATCTCAGTCTGAAGTGCCTGGGCTGTAAGGATTAGTATCGGTTACTATATAAACCTGTTAAGAAACCAGTTTCACTACATACAATTCTTTACTGAATATTTCAAAATGATCACTCTACGGGAGTTTTCCAACTAAGCCTCAAATGGAGTTGCAACAGACATCAGCATCTCTGGTCAACGGGTTGCTACTTAATTTACACACCTGTTCCAACAATCTCAGAAAAAAATGGAAACACCAAAGGAGACTTCTTAGTTTCCAGGGATAAAAGAAGATAAATCTTTAGAAAAAGCATTGGCATTTCAGGGCAATTTTAAATGATATGCCATCATGGTACACAGATTTAATGCATCAGTTGCATGTTTCTTAAGAAATATTTGCTGTAGCAACATTTCCATCATATGGTATATCCCATCTCTCGCCATATAAATCCTGTCAATGAAAAGGAATTGTGAAGAATATAAGACCTTATATGGAGTAAATAAAGAGCAATTGACGGAACCAGACGAATCTGTGAAATATGGAAGGCATGCTTTCAGCAAAGAAAAGACCTCATAATTCATAGCTAGTGGAGCCACAAGTGAATTACTAAGGCCTTTCATCATACATGGAATGATTCTGTTCCACAGATGTTCACTTTGTCTTATGATGATTTGGCAGCAGATTTAAAATAATATTTAATTCTTTTTATTAAAACATGAAGGTATACTTCTGTTGCTTCAGGTTGAACAGAGCTCTTTTCTGTGGGTAAAGAACATCTACTAATGAAATCAGAGGGATACTCTGGGATTTGCTTTTCTCATTCCCAGAAGGCAAAGTGACACATATTTCAAAACACCTCATTTATTTGACAGTCAATCAAAGATTTTTCTTTAACAATGGAAAGGTACTTAGCTGGGAAGGAAAATGTTGCTGTCCTATAAAATGGGTTCTTTGTTAAACTCCAGCTATAACTAAAACTAGATGCTTTGATTGGGGCAGCCTGTTGAATCAGCAGCTATAATATACTTGTACATTATAGATAAGGTACATTGTGTGTATACATTTTATATCTGAATCAGTAGCAACTGAAGTCTTGCCTAAATTTAAAGGTTTTGCCAATGCAGGTAAATTGGTAAAGGTACACTAGAAAATCCCTGTTATGATACAGCTTATACCAGGAAAATAGTTCTTTTTGGACTTTGGACTTTCCCCAAAGTCATAATCTGTATTGTCAAAAGGATAACAGTGTCTATATTTGAGCCTTTGCTCATATAGCTGCACACAATAACACTGCTAAAACTTTCTAGTGTGAACCAGAGCTGGTCTGGGAATTTAATTATTCTAAATGAGCAAAATGGCTGCAATGTGGTTACTTAAAAAGCAGGTTTGAATTCTGAAACACTTCATTCCCAACACATGTACTTGTGGTGCTGTATGGGATATAGCAGTCAGGAGCTATTGCATGGGTGAGTAAGTGATAATGGCGAGTGCACATCCACTACTTTCCTGAGCAGCCTGTCTGCGCAGTAGAAGGTGTGTCCAAGTGCCCTGTGGCAGAGAATGAAGCAGGCTTTTTAAGATGCAACACACTTTGTAGTTTTTAAGAAGACTGTGTTTTTTAATTTGTTTAAAATTCATCACATCCATATGAATATAGCAGGAGCTGGCAATATTTAGGGGCAGGGAAGCACTTTAACAGAGATTAAAGGTCGCTGCAGGTGCTTCCCAGCTCTATGGAACAGATCTGGCTTGCGGCCCATAGGTTGCCAACCCCTGGAATAATGCAGCATTGTATTGTAAAGTAACAATTGCTTGGTTTGTATTTTGGTTTTAAAAGTATCAAAGTCTAGAAACAAATTTTACTTTTATATTAAACTCAGTTATGAATTCAAATGAACTTAAATTAAACTACAGGAACAAACCATACATAAGGAATGCTATATCTGTCTGGATGCACGGAAACTCCATCCCAAAAGGATATCCAGTCGCAACCATAAAGATATTCAGAACCTGCTCATTTCCTATTAATTCTCAAAATGCACAATAGTTAGATGCTTGTGGAAATACTAATTAAACAGATTAACCACTTAACAAATGTCATATGCTTCACAGAATGTGAGGTGTATGCCGTAGGCTGGTGAAGCAGCATTTCCTATTTCAATAGTAAAAAGATATTTTAAAGGTAAAGAATATTTTTGTGATACAATATTAAATGTTTTTAAAGCAAAATAGTAAAACACACATTAGTTAAAATGTTAGCATAAACAATTTCTCATTATTATCACTATAACTTTGACAGAGAGAGGCAGCACCACTTAGAAAGACAAAGGTGGGTTGAGATACATCTAAGAAAGTGATGACCATGCCCCCCACTCCAGTGGAAGATGAAACCACACCTAGACTGTGCCAATCTGACCAGGGAGTTAAATTCCTTCCAGACCCCAAATGTGGCCGTCAGTCTGACTCTGAGCAGAGCAGCGAGATCCATAAACTTTTCCCAACATCTTTAAATCTTCTTTCAACATCAAGCCAGTGGTGGAATTTGCTTTGTTCGCCTGCTGCTAAGCAAAACATTGGTTAATGCGGTCCAAGAAGCATGCGAGGTGTGTTTGGAAACCGCTCCTTAATCTAAACAAAAACATGAATACGAGTCAGTATTTGAATGTCTGACAAACTTTTTAAACTTTGTTTTGACCACTTTGAGTGCATCCAGATGAGCGCAGAAGTTGGTTTCCCTGGGGACAAGTAGCGGCAGCCCACCTTGCACTGCTACTTGTCCCTGGGGATTGTGCCATGCATGCTCCGGTGCATGGCAGGGTATCCCGGGTGGGGTAGGGGAGGCTGGGGCCACCAATTGCCCCCAACAGCCTTAGCTGGGGTCCTGGTAGGAAGCCTGTCTGACAGTGGGATTGTGGCTCTGGCTAGCCAGGCTCCGGTTTTGGGTGGTGCGTGCTTTTTTTGGAGTGGGTTTTTTTTGACCCAGGGTCAAATACTCCCCTCCCTCCCCCCCACGGTGCCAGCGTGGGAAACCCCTGCACATGTGGCATGTGGCATATTGCAAGTCCGTGCTCATTTGGACAGGGCCTTTGATATTACCTCTGTCTCAAGTGATAAATAGAAATGGACCCGCCCCGAAAAAACTGACCCTGGATTAAGATAATTCAGTGCTTCTATTTCAAGAAGTTCCCATGCATACAGGTTTCCCTCGCTTGATGCTGCACGTGCATTGCAGGAAAAACGGCGTGTAACTCGAATTCAGCAATTCTATTTCAATAAGTGTCAAATCAAACCTTTCTGAACACCAGGCCACGACTACAACAGACCTAAACATTTTGAAGATTTTTAAAACCAAGTTGAATGTTAGTAACGTCTCACAGTTTGACTTTAGAGGCCAAAAGCAAATGGGGTAAATAGTTCACGGGCCCTTTGTCACTTCTAATGTGAAAGGCCTTGAGAGAGGGAGCGAGAGCGTGCTTCCGGCCAAATGTCTTCGGTCCTTTCCCTTTGGGAGAGTGGACATTTTGGGTGCCTCAGTGATACCCTAGGAGCTTTGTTATTATGAGTTCGGTGGCTGTATCTTTACAAAAACCCTTGGCCGTTAGTTGAATGAGCACAAGTTAGTCGAACGAGAGCAAATGAGATGAACAGAAGGCCAATTTTGAGGCTTTTTGAATGCAAATTGGCTTTGTCTCTCTCAAAATAGCACTGGCCCTTCAGCTTTCCACTGCCATTTAGATCAACAACGCCTGGATCGCTAACGATCAATTCGGATCTAAATGACTGAGGTGGTCTTACTCCTGGCAAATGTTTTGGGCTTGCTTCAGCTGTGAGAAAAGGGCATATTTTTGTGCGGTGTGTGAGCTTCGAAGGAAAACCACAGGAAACAGTGAGACACGATCCCTGTTTTTGGAAGAGTGCAAGGTCGGGCTCAGGGAGGAGCAAGCTAGGAACAGGACCGAGGGCTGCTCGTAACCAAACAGTGCGGGCACCACCTAGCGGGCACGGGCCAGGCTCGCTTGGTAGTCTGTATTTTTCCATTCCCCGCCCCATGGCCTGCGCCTCAGCCCAACTGCAGGCCTCACGAGCCCGGTTGTCCCCGAGTCTAGATTTTGGGGGGGCGAAGTGAAGGAGAACATGCAAACGTGCGCAACTTGATTCATGACAGATGCAAATGAGGAGGATTGTGGCAGGAGCGACAAAACCACACGAAAGAAGAACACCATAACCCCACCCAGCGGCAGTTACCCGCGGCCATTTGAACAGCGCCCGCGGAACGCTCAGCCCTAGCGAGCGCCTGATTGGCTGCGCTTCCCGCGCCCCGATTGGCGGAGGCGGGGCTCGGCCGAACCCTCCCCGACAGTTCCACCCGCCCCTCCCCCCGAGGCCCCGGCGCTCCACAGCCGCCCGCGCTCGGCCTCTCAGGACCCCGCGGGCTGCCGAGAGCACTGCCTGACTCCTGGGCACTCGAGGGTGGCGCCGGGGATCGCCCCGCGGGGCCCTCCAGGAGCTTCCAGGCTGGACCGAAACTCGGCGGAGGGCGCGCAGCTTCTCCCCGGCTGGCGTCTAGGGCCCTGGCGGCATTTCCGCGCCGGCGTTCGGGAGGGGCGGCCGCGCCCCGGGAGGACCCAGGGGGGCGGGTCCTGGCGCTGGGGAAAACGCGCCAAGTTCCCCGTGGTGGGGAGCGCGGGAGCGGGGTGTCCTGCTGTCTCCATAGCAACTGGGCGGGGGTGCGCGGCCGCTTGCGGGGCTCCGCGAGGATGTAGCGGGTGAGGACACGCGGGACCCCCTGCCCCGGGGCGGGGGGCGCTGAGTTCCGGGAGGGAGGGCTGTCCCGTGCGGGGCGGTGACGTCAGCCCACGTCACAGAGGCTCCCCCACTTCGTGGGGGGATCCCGCGCTCGCCCGCCCACGTGCTCTTGTGCGCGTTTGACAGGCGCCACCCGCCTTGCCCCGCCAGCCAGGGAAGATGCCCGGGGTGCTGCCCAGCGAGAGCAGCGGGCCGGCAAGAGGGAGCCCGTCTAAGAAGAACCGGCTGTCCCTGAAGCTCTTCCAAAAAAAGGAGGCGAAAAGAGCCCTGGACTTCACGGAGGCGCCACCAGACAATGAGCATGCAGGGTGCGAGTACAGCCGGGGCACAGAAATGTAGGTAACCCACCACCACCACCACCTAGTGCAGACCTGTGTTGTTCATACTTTATTTTACTGGGAGCCCTTAGCCCCTGTGGCAGAGCAGGACGTGCTCGAGAAAAGTTTAGACAGGCACCTGGCTGGGGGTATCTGACCCCACCTTGCTTTCCTGCCTAGCACAGCGGGGTTGGACTCAAGCTACAAGGTCCCCTCTGACCCTCGAAATCTACGAGAATTAGTAGGCAGGAAGGGCCAGGTGTCTCCGTGCCTGGGCGGTTGCATCCAGGCAGGTGTGAAACGGCCCTCCCCACCCCAGTTCAGGAGGCCTGGGCAAACTTCTCCAAGCGCCTCGTAAGGGCTGCGTGAGCCAGCCAAATGCAACCAAACGGAGCCGGACGCACGGGCCCTAAGCCCGAGTTCACACGTGCTGTGAATGTTTCCTCTGCCCCTTAGGTGAATTGGTTTTTTTTTTTTTCTTTTTTTTTTTTTTTTTTTTTC